ACCTTATGACCTGTTATGACTTATAAAATTTACTATTACATTATGACCACCTTGGTTATATAAAGTTGAATATGACCTAAAATAGCCAACACTGATCAACTTAGATCACTATAAGATTCTTCACTTCAATACAACAGAGAAGCTTTATTTACTTAAAAGTGATGAAAATAATTTGGAGACACAGGTTTGCCTCATAGAAAGTTTTTATAAAGTTATTTGCTTAGCACATTAGAAAATTGAATATGAAGGACAGGAAAAAACCTGAAAAAAAGTGAATTGCTATTATTTATTATAATTTGTTTCTAATTATACATTAATTAAACAAATAATTTCCATTTTAGATATAGATTAGATATTGTTACATCTTGCAGCAAATTGTTGAAAATTCAGTACATGAATGTCAAGTATGTATTATGAGATGACCTATCAAAAAAATTCTACCTATTCACCCAATAGTATCTGAAGCTTTTTTGTATCATGTTCAAGTAAGTTTTATAATTTTAATATCAGTATTTATTTATTTATTTAAAATTTTCAAATTTAATAGTATTATCTTATAGATTAATACAATTAACATGACAGCAGTGCCTGATGAGCCTTATAAATATATTATTCATATAAGAGATTACTTCTCAAGGTTTTTTTATGCTGAGCCTACACCATCCAAGTCAGCTAGGATGCTGCTATTGTTTTATTTAATTTCTGCTTGACATATGGCCCTTCAGCAGTTCTTTATTCTGATAACAGTGGTGAATTTATTGAAAAAACTATCAAAGAAGCATTAAGTCTTTGGCTATTAATTAAAACTATTCATGATTGGCCTAGAAATCCACAGTGCCAGGGTCTTGTTGAAAAGAGAAATGATATTCTTAAAAATAAACTAGGAGCATGGATAAAAGAGACACATAGAAATGATTGAAGTGTCAGTCTAAAGTTTGTACTCTGTAAGTATTTATGTATAATTAAATTAAATTGGTTAATTTGGTTCTTATATATTTTAATATTTTATTATTATATTTAATTTATTTAAGGGGCTATGAATAATCAATACTGCTGGGCTCATAAAACTACACTGTATAATATTGTGTTTGGACAGCTTTCTCATAGTAATACAAACATATCTGCAATTTTAAACAATGATGATTATAAAAATGATATGGAAAATGATAATTATCAAGATTCATATAAAGAAAATGATGATCATCAAAATTTATTTGAAGAAAATGATCAAAATTTACTTGAAGAAAATGATGATCATCAAAATTTATTTGAAGAAAATAGTCAAGAATTCACTTGAAGAAAATGATGATTATCAAAATTCATTTAAGAAAATAATCAAGATTCATTTGAAGAAAAAGATAAGTGTCAAAATTCATTTTCAGAAAATAATGATTATTACTATTTATCTAAAGAAAATAATGATTATTTTGAAAATAATAATTATTCAAAATTATTTAAAGGTTATAATTTTTAAAATATAATTACATTTGTGATTTCTTAAATGATAAACTAACTTTGTTATTTTTTAGCTAATGATTATTTTTCTGATGAAGAACCAATTAAATCAGAGTGTTCAAAATTTGCAAATAACATTAAGCTCAATAATACAAAGTCTGAAGTTATTGTAATTAGTGATTCTGAATCAGATATTACTACCTATGAAAAAGAAAAATAGCAAGCATATAAATATTCTATCAAACCACAAGAAAATGAAGTACTGTATTTATTATATTATATTAAAAGTTCTTTATATTAAAAATTCTTTATTATATATAAATTCAATTTGTGAATTTAATTTTTTTTAAAGCAGCGATCACCATTACAAGTTATTACAAATTCAGCTCGACCTTCTTTTGAAAAACATGAGAAAATTTGACAAGTTGTAATTCTAAATATTAAGAAAAATTGAGAGCTTATCAGAAGCACTATGGAAATAAAGCACAAAATTAAAAAAAAATCGTGCATTTAAATTTGTGAATTTGTAAAAATCCACATTCCTAATATTGATAAGGTGAAGATGAATCAAAAATCATTACTCTGTAAGAATATTCAGAAGAAACTGAATCAAGATTCTTACCAGATTGCCTGCCAATTCAGGATCCTTAAAAACTGGTATCCTGCCAGTAAACTTCTGCCATTAGGCACACCTGATTATTCTGATCTTGATATCATTCCACTTAATAATAAAATTTCATTGCGGCAAGCTAGTATCAAGCAAAATATGCATCCAGTACAATCTTCAAGGCAAAGATCTGATTCAAATAATTCTATTGTTATAAGGTAATTTTTGTTTATTATCATTATTTGTTTATCTTTTTTTATTTCTTACTAATTGAACTTTTATTTTTAATAATGATTTAATGCATTCAACACCTAATGCTAAAAAAACTTGTGACTGCTGCTATTGCAAAAAAGACAAATTGCAATACCAAGGCTTGCACTTGTAGAAAAAACAATATGTTATGTTCAAGATGGTGTGGGTGTGTTTTGCATGACCAATACAACAATTGATAAATAATTTCTTTCCAATAAAAAGATAAATTAGCTTTCGTTTATTATATTTATATATTTATTGTTTATAGTTAGCAGCTAGTATTGATCATTCATGTTTGTAAAAAGAAAACATTTAACAATTTATACGTATTGCATTTAGCTTTTAATATATGTTGTCTATTAGCATGCGATTTTTTAATTATATATCATACATATGAAATTAGTTAATCAGTAAAATTATACTGATTCCAAAATGATATAGGTTATTCAAATGACACATATTGATCCCAGATTAACAGGAATCAATAACTGACGCACAATATACATAACTTTTACATTAATTAATGCAGTGGCACGTGATTATTGAACTGCATTACAAGCATTATTAGACTTTGTATGCCAGTTCTATACGTAAAAGCTCTGGACAACATTATTTACATAACAAAAATTACATATAAGAAATTTACATGCAAATTTTCACCCTATATCAACTGGGGTAAAATCGCCACCCAAAAATGTTTCGAACATCACGTGACAAATCTAGCACCAAAAATTCATGTAACTTGAACAAAAAATAAATAATTTGTTTATTTCGAATAAACAATAAACGTAATATTAGTTACAGCCAGAAAGTACAGTCAACTCTTTTTATAACGAACTGAAGATTTTAGAAAAAAAAAAGTTCGTTATATAAAATTATGTATTCTGCACTTTTTATACCGAACTATATTATGAAATTTCAAAATTTTGAGTTCATTATATCCAGGGTTCATTATAGGAAGGTTCATTATACCCAGAGTCGACTGTATTATGATTACGGTTGTTTAAGTATTTGGAATATTTCATTGCCTTTTAAAATGATTATAATCCTCCTCCAATTTATGCAAAAGCTCAAAGTTTTTATTAATACTATCGAACCATTTGTTACGATTTGTATTCATTATGTTTTCTTCAACAATTGTTTTTGTTGCGTTCTGAATTCAGAATTATAAAACTTTTTGCTCAAATAAATAATCAGAGTTATAGTCTTCCAGAAGAGCATTAAAAATAAAACCTACGTTTTCTGGTGCAGCAATCGATGTATATATTTAGAATATTGCGTTTATTGAATTTTATACCTTTAAAAGAATCACTTGGTTTGTCGAGGTTGCAACGATCGCTTTTCATTGAGGAATCGAAGAAAAAAATCACTTACTAAATTAATTAACGTTAATATTTTATAAATATTATCGTTATCATAATTCTAATCATGATGATTTGACATTATCACATGACTTTCGAAACTTTTTTGGGTGGCGATTTTACCCGGTCCTATATATCCCTAAGTTTCTATATATTAAAGACATATGCATTATATATAATACTTTTCTACAATAATTTTAACATTATAAAATGTTGGTACGTTTAATAATACTAAATTTTCGTTAATACTTGCCCAACATGTTTAGTGCTGTAGTGAGTTTAGTCTGTGTGAAAACATATATATTTCAAATTACAATGTATATAACGTAATATAAATTGTAAATTATCGTTATTACTAGCTCTCAAACCTGGGCGATGCCCCGGGGACGCGTTCTCAATTTTTTTAGTTTT